ACTGGAGTGCAGTGGCCACTCCTGGCCACTCCCAGCCACCACAGCCTCGACCTGCTGGGCTCCGGCGATCCTTCCGCCTCAGCCTTCCAAGTAGCTGGAATTATAGGTGCGTGCTACCACGCCCGGCTAATTTTTTTTGATTTATTGTAGAGATGAGGTCTCGCCTGCCCAGGCAGGTCTCGAACCCGCGGGCTCAGGCAATCCACTCACCTCAGCCTCCCAAAGGCGCGGGATTACAGGCTGAGCCACCAAGCCCGGCTGCAGTTTTATTTTTATTTTTAATTTTTTTTTGAGTTGGAGTCTCACTCTGTCACCCAGACTGGAGTGCAGTGGCTGCTCCCAGCCACTATAGCCTCGAACTGCTAGGTTCTGGCAATCCTTCCGCCTCAACCGTCAGCTACCACGCCCGTCTAATTTTTGGATTTACTGTAGAGATGAGGTTTCGCCAAGTTGCCCAGGCGGGTCTCGAACCTGCGGGCTCAGGCAATCTGCTCACCTCAGCCTCCCAAAGTACGGGATTACAGCCTGAGCCACCGAGCCCAGCTAGGATTGCAGTTTTAGATAGAATAGTCTAGGAAGGACTCAGTGAGGTGGTGATGAGTCAGTGCCTGAAGGCAGTGAGGGAACAAGCCATATAGACACCTGGAAGACACCATGGGCCTATTTTTCTTTCAAACACTCTTACCTCTATTGAAAATGTATGTTTGAATTGATTGAACATTATTAACTATATTTAACATTGTTAACCAATTCCTGTGCTAGTTCTAATATTTTGTCCCAGTGCAGACAACTTTGGGATGAATATTCTTGAGTGACCCAATCTGGGCATATTTCCTCACTGTAGGGAACATTTCTAGAAGTGGAATAATTTCTGACTTTTGTATTTTCCTTTTAAGCATCTTGGTTAAAAGATTTGGTTTTTCATAAAGTCTGTACTACTTCATTTTGTTCTACCAGCGGCGCGCGAATGCCTTTTTTTCTTTCTTTCTTTTTTTTTTTTTTTGAGTTGAAGATCTCACTCTGTCACCTAGGCTGGAATACAGTGGAACAATCATGGTTTACTACAGCCTTGAACTCTAAGACTCAGGCAATCTTTCCACCTCAGCCTCCTGAATAGCTGGGATTGCAGGTGTGTGCCACCATGCCTAGCTAACTTTTTTATTGTTTTGTAGAGACAAGGTCTTATTATGTTGCCCAGGCTGATTTCAAACTTCTGGGCTCAAGTAATCCTTCCACCTCGGCCTCTCTCAGTGCTGGGGTTACAGGTGTGAGCGACTGCGCCTGGTCACATTTTAAAGTTTTTTGTTAGTAGAGATGAGGTCTCACTATGTTGCCCAGGCTGGTCTCAAACAATCCTCCCATCTCAGTTTCCCAAAGTATTGGGATTACAGGCGTGAGTCACCATGCCTGACTGAGAGTGCTGTTTCTCTATAACTTAGCCAGCATGCATCTTTACCATTTATTTGATCTTTACTAATTTGCCAGATTAAAATTGGTACATTGTAGTAATTTACTTTTCTTCAGTTTTCTTAGAAAGGCCTAGGGCAATAGTTTTGACTTTTCTGTGATTGAAGAAATACATAATGACACAAAACTGTTACCAAATTTAGTAATGTTTTAAATAAATTTATATTTGATTAACCATAACAATATCCATTTATGTTTTGAAAAACAGTAGTGTATATTAGTGAGAAATGTTACTCAGTATATGTATAATGCTTAGTATATGTATGGACTCACAGTTTTCTTGGTACAGCCAACTCTTCGCACTCTCATGGGTTTGAGGGTCACAGGTTGGGAACTCCTGATACAAATTATTATTATTTGATAGAGGAATAATAGAAATTTCTTTTACTTAAAGCTTAGGTATTAGAAACCTTTGTAAATTGAAGACATTTTATCTTTGAATGTGCAATATGTCAATGTAATAATAATAATGATTTTTATTATAATATATAAATAATAATATTTAATAATTTTGATTATAATAATAATTAACCACTTAAAAAGAAGTATTGCTTTTAAATAGTTTCAGAATTTTTAAAATAAACTTTGTTTACTGTATTGACTACTGTCCTCCCATCCCCACTCCAAATTTATATCCACTCAGAACCTTAGGATGTGACTTTATTTGGATATAGGGTCTTTGCAGTTGTAATTAGTTAAGATGGGTTAGGGTGGGTCCTCAGTCTAACATGAATGGTGTCCTTATAAGAAGAGATACAGAGACAGGAATGTGCAGAGGGAAGTTTGCTCTGTGAAGATAGAAGCAGAGATTGGAGTTACATCCCACAAACTAAGGAACACTAAGAATGGCTGCCAACCACCAGGAGCAAGGAAGGATTCTTCCCCAGAGCCTTCATAGGAGCACAGCCTCACCGACACCTTGATTTTGTACTTTTGGCTTCTAGGACATGAGGCATGTTCTGACCCATCCAGTGTGTGGTACTGTTAAGGCAGCCCTAGGAAACCAATTAGGAAATTATATTTTACTTCTGATTACTCTGTTAGGGCCAGTTCAGTAGAGTTAAAGCATTACTCTGAAGGAAATCTTTGTTAAACAACATTTTCAACAGAAGTTCAAAAATATGTGTCACAAGTAGAATTCTCTGATTAAAGTGAGAGGAGCATTGCAAACATTTTCAGGTTAGTATTTCTTCCTGTTCTCTCTCCTTCTCCTTCCTGCTCTGCAGAGCACAGATTGAAAACCAGTGGTCTGGCCTAAAATGTTGAAAACATTGGCTAGAAAGTCAGATAAGAATCCTATAAAGCACCTTTTGTTGAAGGTGGAGAAGAGAGGCATGTGAAGCCAGCACTTTTTACCTTGATGCATTTTTGCCTTCCAGGATCTAGAAAAGCTGACCTCATTCAGCCTCTCCTATGTTAAGATGCCGGTGGTGCAGATGATAGCTACTATTTATGGAGGGCTTACCACATGCCAGCCACTGTGCTTGTTTCCAAAGAGAAAAATCTATCAAGGGAAGAGGAACGATTCTGTGGCTGCTCAGAAGCACATGGGGAATCATGCTTGCTGAGCATGGCAGATGGTGTTGCTGGGTGACTTGAGTGCCTCCTGGTGCGTGCAGATCTTGGTGCACTGTCTCTGCGGTAGGTCACAGGCTAGCTGTTGTCTGGTCAACTGAGGCCTGGGCCAGAGCTCCTTTAATTGCCTTTGCCTCTTAGTGGCAAGTGATACCTTGTGTGTGGATTTCATACTTCAGCTTCCAGATGGTTAATTGCCTTCCTTCCAAGTTCTTGGAACACCTCATTTTTGCTCCCAATCATTGCCCACCCCTTTTTAAGTTTGTCCAAATCTGGAGAATTGACCTGAAAAGAAAAACTGAGGGTGGTTAAACTCTTGGTGAAGAGAGTACAGTAAGTCTGCTACATATGAACCTTCAAGTTGCAGACTTTCAAAGGTGAGAATGTGTGTTCGTATGTCCAATAATGTAAGTTAGTTTACTGTCTGGCGTACATTATCACATACTATACTATAAGATTAAAAATGTTTTCTTTTTAATTCATTATTTGTGTGAAAAGTATTATAAACCTATTACGGTACACTACTATATAGCCTATTGTGTTAGTTGGGTACCTAGGCTAACTTTGTTGGACTTAATAACAAATTAGACTTACAAATATGCTTTCAGAATGGAACTCGTTCAATAGGAGACTTACTGTACATCTTTTAAGCAATGGTGTTGATGAGCTGAGCATGTGGATTTTAGTCACTGCTTAAGTAGCATGCTGGGTAAGAGGTGGTTCCATTGCTAATATATGTGTGCTATGTACTGCTTAAAGAAGCAACTCTCAAACCTTTCCAAGAGAAATAGCATATCTCCTCAAGTCCCAGAGGGGGAGGTGGGGGGGGGGAAGGGGGCTGCTTCCTAGATGGGGAGGCTGTGGGCCATGTGACTTTCTGGTGTCTCTCTCCAAGCTGCTTTTGAGCACTACTGGTTTTGAGGACTGATCTTCATAAAAATTTATTTTAGGAACCTCTGAAAAGGATTCGTTGCATAAAACACTATACCCTATTTCATGGAATCTAAAAAGTCATTGATTGTGAGATGAACTATTTTTTTAATGTACTGCTAAGATAAAAAGATTACCAATTAAAATATATTCCATTCAATGTCAGATGTTAAAATGTGAAAAAAATTCCATATGAGTATTTGGAACTTCTGTGACTACGACTACCAGAGTTAGAGTTGGAACCAGTCTTTATCTTCATAGATTATGTTGACAATTCTAGTTCATAATGTGAAATTTTAAAAGAAATCTGTTGATACTATCTTTATTAGGTTTCTATTGTATCAAAACTGGCCAATCAATACATTTAACTTTATCCTTTTTGTTACCATTTACTAGATTTTATAGCACTTCTGACATGCTGACAGCTTATAATGGAAGCAAGTATCATTAAACCTGAGACTGAAAACACAACTAAGTCCAGTTGGTAGATTTACTTGCTAGGATACTAAGTGTTTCACAGTATACATAAGCTTTTTTCTCTTTTTTTTTTTTTTTGAGACAAGGTCTTACTCTTTTGCCCAGGCTGGAATGCAGTGGCATGATCACAGCTCACTGCAGCCTCCACCTCCTGAGGCTCAGGTGGTCCTCCTGCCTCAGCTTCTTGAGTAGCTGGGACTACAGGCACATGCCACCACGCCTGGTTAATTTTTTGATTTGCTGTAGGGACGAGGGCTCACTATGTTGCCCAGGCTGGTCTCAAGTTCCTGGGCTCAAGTGATCCTCCCACCTCAGCTTCTCAAAGCACTGACTGGGATTACAGGTGTGAGCCACTACGCCCAGCCACACACATTTTTTAGGTACTGCGTTCCTCCTCCTTTCTCCTTCTTTCCTTTCTTTCTTTGCAGAGATGAAGTTTTTCAGTGAATAATTTTTGGAGTTTATGAATCCTTTAGAATTTTGTGGAATGGAATAGCTAGTTCACCTCATTGGGTAATTGCATAATTTGAATTTTGCATTTTTACTTTCAGAAAGGAGTTGGGGGTCAATTTGGCCGCAGGCTATGCTTCTCTGAGGCAGTGTGCCAGAGGCAAACAGCGTGGTAAGAAGGCCTCTGCTGGCTGCGCTGTGTTCCTGGATAGGTGAGTAGCAGGAATAGACTGTCACTTCTGGGGGACTCTCGTCATGGGAATATTAGAGAAAGTTGTAAGGCTGTGTATACCAAGTTGCTGTTTTGAGCTCTCTAAGAATAGGATTGTGTAGGGAGATGTACAATGTGGAGAGTTGGATGTGAATCATGAGGCTGTCACACCACTCTCGTGAGACGAGTTGCATGAGACGCAACTTCTAAAAGTGACAAGTAAATTGAATTTTCCTTTTATTAAAATGTTCTTCAAAATTACTCACTTTCCAGTTGATAAGGACCTTTGAAAAAGGAGAAAGAAGATTAAAGTATGTTCTACAGTCTTCAGAGCTTTCTGAATCTTAGTTTTCAGGGTTTTGGGAACCCATTTTGCTACAGCAAGACTCTGTACTGTGACTCTCAGCACCAAGGTCCATAGAAACTTTAAAAAAGTTGTTTGAAATTGGTGCTTAGATGCCTGTAGAGTCATACTATACTAACATTTATGGGACACTAACTATATGCTAAGCACTGTGTGGATCCCTGAATGCTTGCTGTCACCACAGAGACGTTTTACACGGTAAGAAGGCAGGCCCATGTAATCTACATTTTGGAGAACTGTGATTCAGACACTAGTTGCCTGATTTCGAATTCTGGGCCTTTGATACTGTGTGGTAACTAGCTCAGCTAACAGTGTATATATTTTTGTGTACATATTTCAGTGTATTTTTAAAGAGAAATTTAAAGCCAAAACAGATACTTAACGGAAGACATTAGTTTAAACCGAAACTCCTGTACTCTGGGAATAACCTGTCATACAGCAATCTGATATGAGAAATAGAGCAGATATTCTTTGAGTTATTCCATCCACAAAACATTAGAGGACACACTTGGTACCAAGTGCTTGGTGCTGGTACACAAATGGTGAGTACTCATGTGTTCTCATGAAGCTGACAATCTAGTGGGGGAGACAAATTTAAAAGAAAGTCAATCCTAATGAATTGGGATACATACTGTCAAGGAAACAGATGGATTTCTAAGTCTAGAACAGTGGGATGGGGTGGCAGGGAGTGGGGTGGGATGGTAGGGAAAGGCTTCCCCGAAGAGATGACACTTAATGATGAGAACTGAATGAACTTAGAGAAGAGCATGCCAGAGAGGACCAGAGGTGCTGAGTTTGGGGACACATCGGGCAGGGCTGCCAGGCTCTGGGGAGGGGTGTGGACTTTATTTACAGTATGGTGTGATGTTATGTAAGTTCTAGAATTATCTTGTTTGCTTGTTCACCTGTCTTTTTAGAAGGAGGGGAGATGGAGGGACACAGGCACATGTGAGATATGCTTAGAGGTGGAACTTACATGACTTCTTTGTGAATTAGATGTGGATGTGAGGGAAACAGAAAACTGTTGCCTTGAGCAGATGTGTGAGTGGAGGTGGTGCAGATTGAGATGAAAAAGAGGTGGGGTCAGGATAGAAGAGAGGGTCATGATGATTACTTTGGACTTGTTACAGCCAAGATGCCTGGGACACATGCAAAGGAGGATGCTAGACAGATGGTGGCATCCTCACAGAGGCCAGACTGTCTGGCTCAGGGTGAGATCTGGCCAGAGGCAGCAGTCGTGGAGCAGCACATCTTAGGGAGAGGGTGTAGAAAGGAAAAGCAGAGGTGGCCCAGGAGCAAGCCTGAAGGAACTGGGATATTGAAAACACACCAAGCAACCAGGGAAGACCATGAGGTCCTAGAAATTGAGGAGTTGGGGGTGTCTTGTGCTACAGAAACAGGATGGTCAGTTGCTTGCTGCCCAGGGAGGAGAGTGAAGGAGGGCAGTAGGTGCTGGGCAGCAGGGAAAACGTGGGCGTCCTCAAAGAGCTGTTGTGTGTGCATGGAAGGGAATGAACTGGCTACTCATTTTCAGATTTGTGTGCATGTTATATTTCACACTGAATGTAAAAGAACAAAAAGAAAGTAAGGGGTGTTGAAGTGGAGGCAGCAGGTATAGACACTTTTTTTGTTTTCTTTTGTTCTTTCCAAGAAACCTGGCAGTGAGAGGGAGCACAGAAACTATGTGTAGTTGGAGGGTGATTGGGGATGGGGAGAATGAAAGGAGGAGTCTTATTTCAGGTGCGGGATTCTGGAGAGTGTTTTCAGAGGCTGATGTTAGTGGTGCAGGAGGTGAGGAGGATCGAGAGGTTGGAGTTCTGTAGAAGACATGGTGGGGACCTAGAGTACAGGCACTCTGTTAGAAGGAAGTGAAGGAGAAGTGTGAACGCAAGGCTGCTGGCATAGATCCACAGTGTGAAGCAGTGACAATGGAATGCACATGTTGAATTCCACATTGCTGCAAATGAACATGACAGTTGACTTACATTTTTTCTCAGGGAAGCCCACTGGCCTAAAGCAGTTTTCATTTTGAGCTTCTTTGCTTATCCTGCCTCTCGCCTTCCACCTTCTTCTTTTCCCCTCATCATCACATCTCCCTCCAGGCAATGTGAAATAATTAGAATCCAACAGAAAATAATCCAGTATGGATGTAAGTAAACATTGACTGTTTCAGCTTTGAAGAAACTTTATGAACAGTAATTAAGAATGTCTTTGATTTCAACTGTCTTAACTAAAATAGAACTTTTCTCTTTCTGCTAGAAGTACTCAGAGAGTAGTCCAGTAGTAGGAAGGTAAAAACCTGTTGAATGCCTGTCTTGAATGGTATTTTATTCCAGATAAATAATTCTTACGGTTACTGAATATCTTTCTAAGATGTCTTTAAGTCCGGCTCTAAGTTTTTTTTTGAATCGCACTGCTTTAAAAATAATAGCAATGAATTTCTTTTAAATAGTTAAAAATGTAAAAATGGCATGTAGTGGATAGTCTAAGTGGTCACAAAATGTGTTTTCTTACAACGTTGCTGTCTAGCATTAGACAGCATTTAGAGACCTTCCCTCCTGGAAAGCTTCTAATTTATTGACTCTGAATGTAAGGTATTTTATATAGGCGTAGGGATTTAACTGATACTTAAGCAAAGCTTTCTGTTTAAACTCCCAGAAAGTCTCTTGTTAAATGTCTCAGAAGCTTTGAGCAGTGGGAGCACTTGCACAGTGACACATTTCTAATATGTATCACATGAACTGTCTTTTTTTTTTGAGAATCCACTTTATTCTTTCCCAATATTATCAGAATTTTAGGACTAATTATTTCCTTGTGAAACATTTGTTAATCTGATTCTCATCATAAAAAAAAATTAAAATAATATCACAAGTAGAGAGTATGGGCGAGCCATTTTAAATTGGCTGAAGGTTTTTTTTTTTCCCCCATTCTGTTATCCCTAGGCCCCATCCCCTAACCCTTGATACAGTCTGCTATGGCTCCCTTTCCATTTGTTCATAAAGTTACATTAGGGCTCATTCATTCTTAGCATGCTTTGTAGAACTCTTAGATCATAGAAATAGATGTAATGTTGGGAATACATGTAATATCATATTTAGGCACATAAATGAAAAAGACACTTCAGAAAACTTTACAGGGCTTGGTATATCCTTGGCACCCCAGAGGAAGTGTGCGGGCGTTTAGGAGGCAGGTGCTCAGAGTGGTAGAGTAGGTGGGCAGTAAGCTGATATTTCTCATTACCCCTACTTTTCAAGGGGGAGGGGTGTCTGTGTCTTTCTTATTAATAGCTAAGAATGTGTTCTGTGACCTTTATTTCCTTTTATCTCACCAAAGAAAAATATGTGCTATCATAAGTAGGCAGTGGAATCCTGTCTGTTGACTTGTGTGTGAACGTGGTTGAAATGCTAAGAAGTTCACTCTCTGTACCCTTGGGTCTCTTTATTGGTTTATGGCATGAGAATTGTGATAACCAGAACATTTGAATCAAGAAAGTAATTGAAGATGAGTGTACAGTCTGCTTCTTGTACCGGAGGAGGTCTACTTATGGCCTTCTGTTTAGAGATGAATGGCCAGTTGTTTCCTGGGTATTTGAAGATTAAGCTCTGGTCTACTTTTCCAATTTCTGCTCCCTCTTAGAATGCCTCCTGAAATCTTGCTGAAGATATTTTCCTATCTGGATGATGTGAGCCTGCTGCTTACTGGATGTGTAAACAGGCGCTTTTACCATCTGACCAATGACAAGTAAGGAGAAAACCAAATCTCTATGCTATGTTTTGATGACAGTTTGATAGAAGTCATGACAACTAGTTAGAAATTTTAAAGCAGTTTTTAAAAAATTTAAGAGAGTTAATTTCAAGAGTATTTTTTAGACACAGATATAATTTGGCTAATGCTTTAAGTAGTCAATGGTATTTTTAAATATTTGCACTTATATGCTAAAAGAAAGGAATATTCTTTGTATGTACTCCCAAAGATCAAACTTTTTATGTCTGTGGCCATTGGAGAATGTTGCTTTAGGTCAGTAGGACTTGGTTGTGTTCACCCCAGAATTAGACTTATCTACACAATCTTGAGCAGCACTGCAGGAACCTGACCCTTTCAACCCAAGCCTGACATTCACAGAGCAGAATGAGATCTTAGAGAAAGAAGAGGAAGGGGCCAAGTATACTTAATTCCTCTTCCCGAACATGCCAATCAAGTGTACTACTCTGTGAGGAGAGCAAGAGGGAAGGAGAGAGGCCAAGACTATGTTCTGGTGGAGGCTTGGAAGCAGGGAGCCAGAGGACAGAGGGTTTCCCCACCCTCAGCTAACTCCATGGAACATATAGGAACAAGCAGGAAAAAACCTTGCTTGTGTTTGGTCACTGTGATCTCAACCTGCAACTCAGAATTTTATCTTGGAGGGAGAGATGGTAGAATCCTCCTAGCTTCTAATGAGACTTTTGTGGCTTACAGCTGAATATCTTGGGTTTTTTAGGCCCCTCTCTCATTCATTATCAAAAGATCTGACAATATAGATCTTACATAGAATCCACATGTCAGCCAGGGGAAACAGCAAGATGAGAGGGCATGCAAGTTTTAACTGGTGTTTTTTTTCCCTAGATAAGGAAATGGAGATTGATGGAAGGGGGACTGTAATATTATTTAATCTTGGAACATGGTGGGTAAGAAATGCGAGTCCATGGGAGACTGTACCAGAACCAGCTGGGAAAGTTAAAAAAAATCTAGATCCCTGGTTCATATTTCTGGGGACTGTAACAGTGCTTTGGAATCTATATTTTAAAAATTTCTCCAGGTCACATAAATGAATAGTCAAGTTCTGAAATGACTAGTCTAGTGCATCTTTTTTGTTTTTTGTAGAGATGAGATCTTGCCATGTTGCCCAGGCTGGTCTTGAATTCCGGGGCTCAAGCAGTCCCAAAGTGGTGGGATTGCAGGCGTGAGCCATCACATCTGACTCTTTGTGCATCTTTGATGTTAGGTGCTGGTTTATTATGAGGAACTCATAATAAGCCCTCAGACCTCATTTAAGCTGTTCTCAATCATATTCATACTCAGAGGGAACATACCATTCCTTGGTTGGAAATGATAGGTGGTTTATCTTATGTTTAATTTAAAACAAAAAAGATGCACTTGACTCTGCATTTGTGTGACCTGGAGAAGTTTTTAAAATATAGATCCCAAAGCACTGAGTTAGTCCCCAGAAATGTGAACTAGAGATCTAGATTTTTTTTAACTTTCCCAGCTGGTTCTGGTACAGTCTACTATGGACTCACATTTCTGAATGGAAGAATATATGTCTGTATGTCTGCCCGTCCATCCATCCATCCATCCATCCATCCATCCATCCATCCATCCATCCCTCCATCCATCCATCCGCGTCAATGCACAAACACACACACACATACACACACTGATTAATGAGTGAAACAATGAATCATGTTCTTGACAGTAGTTGTGGAATGAATGTAGAGCAATTTTTATGTGTCTCTTTCTTAAAGACTGCTATAGTTTGGATATGTTTGTCCCTCAGACCTTATGTTGAAATTTGATCCCCAGTGTTGGAGGCGTTGGAATCAAGGGGGTGGTTCTTTCGTGAATAGTTTGATGTCATCCTTGCACCTCTCACTCTGTTATTCCCCACAAGAGCTGGTTGTTGAAAAGAGCCTGGCACCTCCCTCCCTTCTCTGTCTTGCTTGTGCACATGTGTGCTCTACCCCTGCCCCTCGCCATGTAGTATCTGCCACACCTGCTGGCTCCCCTTTGCCTTCCACCATGAGTGGAAGCCGCATGAAATCCTTACCAAAAACAGATGCTGATTCATCTGCCTGCAGAACTGTGAGCCAAATAAACCTTTTTCTTTTATAAATTACCAGCCTCAGATATTCCTTTATACCAACACAAATGGACTAAGACAGTTGATCTAATAAAATGAAGGTGTTCATTAAAGCAAAAATACCGTGGGCAGTTTTCAAGGAAGGAGTCAACCAGAGGTCTAAAACTGTAGCATTCTGGAGGGTTCTCATTTTATTTAAGAATATAACTCAGAATCCTTAGATATGCTGATAAATTGTAAATGTCTTAGTTTCTTTAAGTGTCGCCTCTCTCTACTTCACCTTGATAGGTCTGGTGGTGCAGGAACCAGACCTTTAAGCAGATTTGGAAGATAGCTTTAGTAATATTTTTGGCACATTTTTACTAATGATTATATGCCAATCCCATGTTCTTGGAAGTTGTTTTTTGGACATCTGAGCTTGTGATAAATCTATGCTCATATTTCTTTTCTTTTTCAAAGGATAAATCTTAATTCTGTTAAGTTGAATTGTATTTTTTAAATGAAGTCAGACCACATGAAAGGATGTATAGCAGTTGAATGGGTAATCAGTATTTGTTTTTGAAAAGTTAACAGTATTCTCTAAGCATTGCTTCTGAAAAGAGGACAGGCACACATATTGTAGTTAATTACACTGATGATTACAGGCAGACATGCTTGAAAGGTGGGGGCCTTCCCTGTGCCCCCATCCATCCATGAGGTGACCTCTGTCAACATGAATACTGATCTCTGCATGGGGAAACTGGATGTTGGAGGCGGCAACTGCATCATTACATGGGGGTTTTATTGGCCACGTACTCTGAGAAACATGATTTGTTTGAACATTAAATTAGGCCCATTTTCTGAACAACTTGTTTGATTGAAGTTTTTCTGGACCTGACTGATAGTCATAGTAGATACATATGCTCTTGTCTTCAGATCTGCCTAAGTATCTAACAGGATGGAGCATTTGGGGATTAAGAAATAATTATGTGTTTGGGTTTTGAAGACTGTTAAGAGTATCTTAAACTTAACATTTATATTTTATTATATAAGCAAGGGGAATAATCTATGATATAAAATTTTGGGGGGGTTTTACTTAAAATGAAATAACATAATGTGTGAGCCTAGTTCATCATACAAATGTTAGGTATACTTGTCGTTGCTGTGTGTGGAGTTTATGCTGTGATTCTCCTCTCAAGGGCTGTGTTTGTTTTCTTAGTTTGTGAGTGCTACAACACGTAAAAATAATGTAAGCAGTAGTTTAGGTAGTGCTGATGTGGGAAATCTGAGGTCTGTAATGGTTTTGTTAAAGGAACATTTATATAGAGTGAGATGATGAATAAAATAAATGTGAAGAATATGCAAGCAAACTTTTATGCAAAGGGAGTTTTAAGAAGTGTCTATTCAAGGAATTTTGGCGAAATGGTTTCAGATTTACCTATATGTATTCAAATAATCATATCTATTAGCTTACATATGAAAGTCTAGACATTTCTGAACTGAAAACATAAATACTTTAAAGCAAAAGCTTGGTGTGAAATTATTTTGTGGGGTGAGAAATGACTCAAGAAATCCATACTAGATAGAATTGTCAAAAGGGGTTGGATCAGTTTGGAAAGTCCCGTCATGTCTGAATCAAGAAGATGGGTTCCAAAGTCATGTGTTTGAGAAAGGATCCTTTTCTGCTGCACTGATGAAATGGTTATGCCTCTCCAGAGCATGCCTGGGTGTCTCCGGGCATCCGTATTGCTCTAAATCGAAATGTGGAGACATAATCGCAAATAATTAAGTTTTATTTACGTAAAATTTGCAATTCAGATTAGGAAATTGATTTTAACCCCTGCCTCAATTTTCCCTAAATGTTGTTTCTGATTTCTGATGGGGAGTGCTCATTGAGATAGAGGAGCCCTCAGGTTCAGCTTTAGGCCCATTGCCAATACCAGTGCTCAGGTGGCTTTTCATGTACTCTTCTTAATAGTGAATGGAAGGATTTCAGGCTTTGTGTCAAAGCTGAATTTGAATCCCAACATTGAGGCTTGTAGGCTGTGTGAATTTGGATAGCTTATTCAGTTTCTTTGATCCCATTTCTTCATATTAGTGAAGTGGCAGTGATGTATACAGGATAAGAGTGTGAGCTCTGGTTGAGGCTGCGTGGGTTTAAATCCCAGCTCCATCACGTGCTTGAGTACACAGATGTGGGCTGTGCCACTTTGCAACTGGGCCTCAGTTACATCATCTGCAGATGGGAACAATAATATAAACTATCTCCTGGGTTTGTTGTAAGGATTAAATGAGTTAATGTATATGAAGTTCTTAAACAACGCTTGACACTTAGTAAATACTCAAAAAACTTGTTAACCCTCACTGTTAATTGTTATTATTGATGTTATTGTTATCAATAATAAGTTATTAATAACAAGTAATGGTGGCACCTTTTTCTGTTAAAACAATGTGTGTTCATTGTTGAAAAATTAAAAAGAAAGCAAAATAATATACAATTCAGTTATTCACTGTTTTTATTGGTGTATGTATGTTCTTTCTGATCTTTTAAAAACCATGTGTATATTTTTAAAGAGACAAAGATCACACTGCATGTACATCCAGTTAGTTTTTAATAATACACCTCCTATTCAATTATTGGTGTAGGAAGGCAGTGGTTTGGTTGATCTCAAATAACGTGAGATTGCTCACTTTAAACTTGACCCTGGGAAACAGGCTTCTCCTTTTTTTGTGTGTTTTTGGTATTATTATTATTATTACTTTTTGAGTTGGAGTCTCACTCTGTCACCCAGACTGGAGTGC